TAACATCTTTAATGAGTTTTTAAATTACTTGGAGAGAAAAGACTCACACTGAAGAAGGCCTGAAATAATTGCCAGAACTACAATCCCATGAAGCACTGTGATAATTGTCATAATAAAATGATGATAAATTGATAGTCATAATTAAAATATAAACAATGAATGAAGCTGTTGATTTAAAGTTGATTATGTAAATATAAACAGCATATTTTCTTTTCTTCTTTTTTTTTGCACTATAAATAAATATTTTAGTAGTTTAAGAGCATAGGGAAGACTGATTGTTGGATTGACTGATTTATCATCGCAGTGCTTCATGAGAGTGGGCATGCACTAATGTCTTTTGGTGCGATTTGCATGTTTTGATTCTTGGCAGAATCATGGGTAATGTAGTTTTTACCAAGAATTCCACTGATAAAAACTATTTTTTATAAATATGTTGAAAAAAGGTAGACTGATGGCTAACAAAAAACCATATACGATTGATTATCAACCTTGTAACTCACAGTATGTCTGCCTTTAAAGCTTTGTTATCATTAAAAAAAATGGTGAATGAAAAAACATTTCTTCCTAAAACAATGTAGATGTAAAATGTAAGAAAATAAAGGCCAGTATTCAAATACCTCAACAACAGTGTTGGTTAGATTTTCAAACTGTAATCTTAAGCTTCTTAATTTCCTAAAATTTCTCATAACCAAAAATAAATCGGCTGAAATGTAATGGAATTAAGTTTTAATGGAATATGTGTTAAAGTTTTAGCCGAGTTATTCATCTGTGATATGTTTCACGTTTGGTGTGAAAGGCCTTTAATTGCTGAAAATTTGAAAAAAAAGAAAAATCATCCTCAGTGGGGATTTCACTGTAAAGTGACTGTTTGTGAGTGTGTATGCGTGTCGGTGGATTATCTTCCATGTTACTCTGTTCAAATCCATACTCTCTGTTCTTCCTCCATTTTTAAGGATAAAGGAGTCCAGTGAACTTGCATTTGTGGCCTCTTAAATAATGTATGGAAGCCTCTGGGAGAACACAAACAGATCCTCCATGTTTCTTGCTATTTAGACCCCCATTAATGTTCCTAAGTCCTGCACCAGATACCTGTGTGTGCCATGGCAAATCACGGGGGGGCACGACTGGCACCGTCACACACACACTCATTTGTCTTGACGTCTTCGATCCCAGAGGAGCCATTGTTACTGTTTCTGATGACAGTTTGCCAAACATCACCTTCTGTGCTAATTTGCCCTTTGAGTCCATTGATTTTGTTTGTCCTCCGAAAACGTGGCGCCATTGAATTGTGTGTCTGATTACACCGGCGATGTTAATGGTTGAGAGGGACAAAAACACATCTTCAACACAAGATGAGGCTGGATTCTGTTACAAATGTCGAGAGGAAACCAAATTATCTTTTCCACTGACAAAATATGCTTTGATGTAACAATTTTGAGCTTAAGATCAGATCACAGAGGAGACTGTTAAGAGCACATGTTGAACAGAGGAAGGGTCAAACAATGCCAAGATGACCATACTGCCCCCTGTAGGACTACTTGCAAACTACACTTTAGGGATCATTCCTTTGGGATCAGTAAGATATTTTTCTTTCTGTCATTTTTATTTAACAAAGACACATTAAGTTGATCAAAAGTGACAGTACATTCATTTCTAATGTTACAAAAGATTTCTCATTCAAACACTTTCTGTTCTTTTGAAAATCCTTGAAAAACGAATCATGGTTTGTAACATTAAAGGTGCAATAGGTGATTGTCTTCAGAAACATTTTTTGTTATGCTGATTGAAAGTCTCTTCACATCCCGATAGCAGTTATTAAGTTAAGTGGTCTAAATGTATTTATCTGTATTTATATATTCTGTGGAAGGCGTAGGGCCATGAAATGTTCATCCAATCAAAACGCTCGGTGCGAGCGTTTTAATTGGCTTTCCTACCTGCCTGTCAACGTATGTATTTGCATATCTCTGCGCACCCTGTTTGCACAGACACAATACGTCATCAGCACGTTCACACACGATGTGCAGACAGAGCGAGAATGGCAGACAAACATCAACAACCCGATCTTCCTTCCTTGTATTGTAGCACTTTTAAAGTTTTCTCACTGGTGAATGACACATGATGTAGCCCAGCGGTTCCCAATTCCAGTCCTCGCGCCCCCCGCTTTGCACATTTTCTCTCGCTTAGTTAACACACCCGATTCAGATAACCAGCTCGTTAGAAGAGAACTACGTGCATGAACTGTGTTCCGATCGATATGATCGCTACACAATGTTCATTGCTCCCTACTCCCTGTAAGGGAAACAGGTCAATAATTTAGCTCAAACGGAATCATTTAAGATTTTAAAGGGGACTCCTGAACAGGGGAAATCCGTTTAAGCTTACTTCACTTCGGAACATGGGCTGGAATTGGGAACCGCTGATGTAGTCTATTGTAGTATTGTTGTCTATTGCAGGGAGGTTGGGACGTTCGCTTTCAGTGCTATCAGGCTAAAGTTAGCATTTTCCAAGATATCCTACTGCACCTTTAATAATAAAACATTTTGTGAGGAGCAAATCAGCATATTAGAATGATTTCTGAAGGATAATGTAAAACTGAAGACTGGAGTAATGGCTGCTGAAAATTTGGCTGACAGACCTCTATAACCATGTATTAATCTGATGAAAGATGCCCAACAGGGGTAAAATATAATTAATCCACAAACAGGAAAATAAGCCTGAGTCTGGACCCACTGAAGTTTAAATCCCCTTTTCTGCCAAGATGGGCGCTTTTACTCTTTAATCCACTCTGGTTACTGATGTGGCCTGTCTCGAGGGGAAGAGAAATTTCCACAGCATCGACCCGTTTACTGGATCTTCAAGCCACTTGTTTTGACATGCCATCCGCAGTGCACCTGGCAGATAAAGCATAACCTCTTCGTGTTAATTAATTTTTAAGCGTGAAAGAAATATTTAATGCCACTTGCTAAATTACTATTTCTGTTTCTAATACTCAAGGATAGAGGTTTTCAGAACCCTTAACCTTAAGTTTTGGAATTTAGAGTAACTCGACATGAACATGAAAATTATTCAAAAGTTATTTAAAAGTTGATTGTTGAAAGATTAATATTTCAGAATACTTCATTTTTAAAGGGATAGATTTCTCAAAAATGATTGTTACTATTCTATTATTACTATTATCTATTATTATTTATCTATTATTATTTACTCACCCTCATGTCATCCCAAACCTGTTTGACTTAGTTTTATCTGTGGAACTACTGACATGAGGGTGAGTAAATAATAATAATTATTTTTTATATATATACTTATGTGCCCTCTTAACACCCCTGAACGGCGTGTTATTGTGCTATCTCAAAGAGGCACAAAATCACTTTCACAGACTTTTTCATTAACTGTTCCCTCCTGATACAGTGCATTCAGAAAGTATTCAGACCCCCTTCATTTCTTTTTTCAATTTTATGTTGCATCCTGATACTACAATTGTTTAAATAAATTTTTTTATAAATCCACACTTTGCTCCATCCTTATTCTGCTCTGTCACTCATCATCAACCTGCCTGTTCTGTCTGAGGGCCGTATATTTACCACCGGTTCAGCCTGCTCTGACCATCGTTATGCACATGCTGCGCACAGACCCCGCAAATAAAACGCATGATGCAGAAAGCATGCGTGTAGCACGTGCATAACAGTCCGAGTGCAGGCTGTACCGGTGGTCAATAAGATTAAAGCGCAGATATGCTGTTCTGAATGGACGTCAGGAGTGGGATATTTTTAGATCTCCCACTCCCGTTCAAATTACACCAGAGTTACCGACCACTACCGTGTTTTATTCGGGAATTTAATCCCGCAGCGCAAAAAATCTGGTCGGGTCTCGCGGAAGAGCCGCGGGAATGCAGACCTCTACTTTACTTCTTGGCTGATGGAAAGACAAATTGAGAGAGTGAATGATAAGGGTTGTGTAAGGGGAGAGAAACAGAGGAGTGTATTTCTATCTGATCAAAGCTCTTCAGGGTTCACGTGTTATTGTGCCTTGTTTCAACTGCAGCTGACTGCTGCCACAACCACTTTCCTCCAATCAGGCTGATGGTAATTAGATCAAACCCACTTTCGTCTTGCTGCCGGCATTGCACGTTCCCTGCACACTTACTTGTGTTTTCCCCTTTAGAAAGATGGAGCGAAGAGTGTGTGTGTGTATGCAGAGATGAGAGTAGTGAGGATTTTAATCCACTCCACACTTGACTCTATTGCATGTGAAAGCGGCGAGGTGAATTGATTCAGTTGTATATTTTGATGTTTCAGACTCACACTCGTCCGCCTAAGGGAAAAAGCATTACCTGAATGCAATTCGGGCCCTCGGCACATGAATAAACGGGACTGGAGTCTCATTATAATTTGCAAATGGCATTTGTGGAACGGAGCAACTTCGGCCGCGCTCTTCAGTGCCGTTCAAGTCTTATTTTCCTTCCACTGCCATTTAGGACCAAGCTGTACAAATGTATCTAGTGGAAAGAAACAACAAGCAGCAAAGGGAAAAAAAATCAATAGTCCTCCCCCCCTCCGCATTTAATATTCCCTCACATCGGATCTGGCACGGTTCGATCGCTGTTGAATTTCTGAGATCCGCAGGCCAATTCATTTCGCTCAAGTCTTGCGAAATTAGACCTTGCATTTTTCAAAGTTACATTTTAATCATATTTTACGATGATGGCGGCATGGAGTGGAGTAAGGAAGAAAAGCGAAGGCAAAAATAAAAGGCTGTAAGGGTTCCTGGAGCTTCAACGAAAGTGGCATTTCGTTCCTAATTGGTTTAATTTATTAATCCAATGCTTTGTTGTGGTTTTTCATGTTTTTATACAGTCGTTGCATAAACGTTACAGCGAATATCTCATTTTGCTTTAAAATGTTCAAAACTGCTAAGGAAAACTGAGTTTATTACCACCACAGATGTTCTGTTAAACTTTGAAATGGTGTTTAATCACCGTTTTCTTTTCTCTTTCTCAGGCTTGTAAATTCCGCTGATTCTTTCTGTAGTCCTTTTGCAACACTGAAGAAAACCTTCTTCTCTTCTCCACACGCAAACCAGGCCGAGAGAGAAGACCTCACCCCCAAAAGACACTTTGCACCCTTCATTTTTGCTCACCTCTTTTCCGCCATCGTCTCTCTCTCTATTGCCAACACCTTCACCTTTTCACCAGGAACTCTCCCTCTGTCCTCTCCCTCCTTCCCCTGCACTCCCTGTCTTCTCATACCTCTGGAATACATCACGGACGGCACCGCCTCGATGCTCGAACTCTCTCTCACTGGACAAAGATATATTGGATGGGGCAAAGCGATTGGACATTTTGATGTACTTTAGTTTCCTCTGGTTAAAGACTACTGTATTTGATCTTGTTTACTAATGTAAGGGAAGGACACAAGGCCTCTTTAGTCTGCAGTGGTTGTGTTTTCTTAGGGCAGGGTGGTAGCCTTCAGAGTCTAAAAAAAAGCATCTCTTGCGTCTTTTTGTTTTTAGTTCAATTGCATTAGTTGTTATGGAGTGGAACACAATATATCTTTATAGTAATGTGTGAAATGGTGGGGGGAAATGTACACTATATATTTTATTTTTTACCAATGTACAATTATATTAATTAACTTATGTACTTTGATCGCTTATTCTTTAATGACCCCTCACGAGAAAGAAAAAAAAAAGAAAAGAACTGTATGTTTTTGCAAAATTTTAGGGACTATTTCTAATGCCATTGATGTTTTTTCCTCTTTTTATCATGTACAAGCTCTTGTTTAGGTTCTTGAGTCTGGAGAGCGATTTGCAGACAGAGAGAGAATCTGTCTTGTGATTCTTGTTTCTGGTGGTATGGCGTTTATTTTATTTTTCTCCCTCTCCCCTTGGGTCAAAGTCAAAGAGGCCAGGGAAGGCTGTTGATTCAGTGGGGGGGGGGGGTTTCGTTTTTTTTTTGCGCTTGTGAGAATACAGAAAAAGGTTTGTGTGGAAGACCCCGTAACTTCTGAAAATGCAAAGAAAAAGATGACGTGGTGAATGAGTTTTGTCTGTCTTTTGCACTAATTTAATAAAGCTGTTACCGTACTTCCCACCACTTTAACTTTGCTCGTTTGTTTTAAGCTTGTCTGCAGACCAAAGAAAGAAGAACCAGATTCAGTGATGGAGAAATGTCATGAAATATTTACATTCCATAGGGGACATGGCTGATATAATAAATAAACCAACATGCACATAAGAATATTGGTATTTTAAGGATATAGCAAACTAAAGCGTTCACAACAACCTTACAAGGTTTAAAAATATATGAAAAGATGGATACTGGAGTTCTGATTTTATGCTGTATTCTGCTAAAAAAAAACATTTTTATTTATATATTGTATAATACAGCTGTAAATAATATATTGGGTAATTCATATACAAGTGCAGTTGTATAATATAAAATTGTACAATCTATTGAAAATAAAATTGTATGTTTAATTCATATTTATAGCATAAACTCAGGTATAGCTTTGTACCATCTTTTCGTACAGCAATGATTTATTAAAATAAATAATTGTCCTACTTGTCCAATGTAGCTGTTAAAAAATGGAAATGTCTTGGTTTGAAGGTCAAGGTACACTTGCATATTAATTGTGGTTTAATGAACTAGCTCAGGCATTTAACTAGCTTCTGCATTAATTTTGAAGTCAGAAAAAAACGACTCTGGCCGTCTCGAGTCATCATCGCTTAGAACAAATATCATCTGATAATTTCTCGGCAATTTGATTAACTGAAATAATTAGCTCATAAACCACCATTAACATTTCCCTGGAGATGCCAGAGTACAGTCTAACAAACTGACTCCTTCGGTATAAATAATCTGAAAATGAACCCGTGAAACCCTGCAAGTTGCTCTCAGTTTGAAAAGTGATGCTTAAACTTTGAGAAAAGAATAGGGAACTTTTGCAGTTATACTTGTGTGAATTATCCAGTTTGAGGTCTGAATAACAAGCCTTGATAGTACTTTTTTTATCATTGTGACTACAATATAAAAGAATAATGGCGAGCCAGCAATGTAATCACCCCCCACTTCCTCACTCGACTGAATAAGTCTCATTTTGATTTCATACTCTGTTTTTGGCCCACATCAATTCTTAATCACTCTGTATAAATACTAGAGCCACCGTTCTGGCAGAAGTTTGTTATATTAAGTCACCGCCTTTTTGTCATAACAATTACTCTTTGTGAAAGCACAAACGTGTAAAACCTTGCTGAATGAGTAGAAATCAATAAATCATCATGCTTTGCCATTCGGATCTGGGTAATGACGTGTAATTGGAACATGTGTTTGGGTCGATAAGTGTGCACAGGTGATCATGACCTAAGTCGATAGAATTATGATTACTATTTCCAAGATTAGCCCCTGGCTTGATTTAAGAGAAAAGTTAAAGACACCATGAAATCAAGAATGAGGTTTTGTGTCTTTTAGTCAATGTCTGTTAGTTTTTAGGCCATCTATATGCTTGCATGCTTTCTCTAACACAAAAAAATGGACCAGAAATATCCATGAGCTGTGTTGATTAACCATTTAACCCTATTCATTTTTATGGAGAGCCTGTTCATATTGTTTGTATTACACTCTTGATTATTACTGAAACCTTGAAAGTTTAACCCGCTTTAACATCATATTGTATTCATTTCAGTCAAATATGTCTCAAACTGGCGAGTAAAGGCATGCTGAGTCTCTGTCAGGCAGGTTGTTGGCCATCACGCTCTCCATTTATTTTACACTTACTCCATTTATTTGTAGGATAGAAGCAGCTTTCATCTCCTATCCCTCTCTTACAGGTGACATGAGGGATTTGTCTCCACAAATTTCGATGACTTCTAAATCCTCTGAGAGTGTTCTTGCTTTAAAATGGCAGATAGAGCAGAGAGAAAACCCTTTCAGTGTCAGTCATTCACCTCCTGACCTACTACATTGATACAACTAATGGTCACAAAATATTTCAAATTGGAGTGACCAGTTGCATTGTCCTTAAAGGGACAGTTTCCTAAAAATGAAGAGATATTTTAAAGAACCTACAATGAAAGTCAATGGGGTCCAGTGTTATTTCGGACCCCTATTAAGGGAATAGTGAATGGGTTGCATTAGAATAAGAGTTCAAACAGCTGAAAAAAATATCACAGTAATCCACAAGTAGTCCACACAACTCCAATCTTGTGAAGCAATTTAAATTTAAAATGCTAAGCTGGTCCAGTAGTTAATTTACAGTTTAATCCATATAAATGTTCAGTGCTCTCAGAAAATATTTGGACACTTAAGCCATAACTTTTTATTATCTAAATTAAAACGGCATTAAACTATCTGAATGTCATTGCATTAGAAAGCAAAATATAAAACCAAGTGGCATTTATTTTAAAGAAATATAGCGCAAGCACACTTTATAAACAGAATATTTTATCGGTTCAGAATGATTGCACAAATGACTCAGAAAAGTGAAGTTGGTTCTGAGAAAATGTCTGGCATCATTTGTTTGCAGATGACACTTGGTTTGATAGTTTGCATCTAATTGCATCTTTTCCAAATATAAAAGTGTCTATGTGTTTCATTTTGTGTCTTTTTTCCAGCCACTGTATGTTTTTGTATCTGGGTGACTGTTTGATGAAGTGACACAGATGCCGGACACACACTGTGTTTGCATCTGTCCTGCTTGGCTGGAAACTAGTAAATAAAAATGTATTTTGGGGCATGAAAAATCCTGAATGTAGTACTATTTATGTTTTGTTTTTCAGTCATCTCTTTCTTTAATTTCTGCTCTCCCTGCACACCATTCACTTCCCTCTGATCCTGTTATACCTCGAAGTGTCACGCTGTCTCATCTGTGATGTATTTTTTCACGAAGGCACTTGGAAGCAGGAGCATTGGAACTGCCTGAAAAGGTCAGAAGAGTGTGTGATTATTTTAAATCTTATACACCTGGCTGTGAATTCCATGGCATCATGCAATTAATATTCAGTTTGCTGTTAGGCAAAACAAATGGTACGTAGGCATGTGCCACTGCATTTGCAAATCTTTTTTTTTATTATTATAATTTTTATTCTTTGTTATTTGTACATGTATTCTGAAGGATACTGAAGACTAGAATATTGGCTGATGAAAATTCAGCATTGCATTACAGGAATAAATCATATTAAAGTAGAAAGCAGTTATATTAAATTGCAATAATATTTCCCAATATTTCTGTATTTACTGTATTCAGCCTTGATGAGCTGCATACAGGTTTTAAGAGACTTCTAACAACAACAACAAAAACACATTAAAATTCTTGCTTATCCCATACTTCTAACCATTAGTGCATTCATACATTCTTCTTATTTTTTTTCTATTTTTATTTTTATTTATTTATATTTGTTTTGTTTTTTACATTTATTTATATATTTTTTATATGTGTGCATCTGTATATGTAAGCAATTATTTCACAATGTAGGATGACATGCTCAAAATGGTACGTAGTGTGTGTGTGTGTGTGTGTGTGAGAGCCTCAAGTGTGCCTGCTGGAAATAAGAGTGCAATATATCAACACACTTCTTTCTGGAGTTTGTGCAGGGGAGCACTGAGGTCCAGCTGTCTTGGCCCGTGTTTGTTGTCTAGACATCACCTTCTGTCTGAACGCAGTTGTGTATTCATCCAGGTTTTTGGCCCTGAGGAGTGTTTTGTCTTGAGTTCAGCTGCCGCTGAGTGGAGCACTGATGCACTGCAGCCTCAGTTCTAGAAGGTTCCATAACCTCTTTTTCCAAGACTTAACAAATGCGGATTCATTCGGTGAAAACAAGCGCTGACCAACACCAACAGACGCCGACGGGGTAACAAACTGATCTGACAAAACCACAATGTAGACCAGGTTCATTCGTGCATTGCCCAAATTAGCACTGTAGTTTAATTTGTGAAGATTACATGTATCATTTCTCCTATACTACATTTTCTGCCCATCTTCCATAAGAACGTTCAGCTATACCATCTATAGCATAGTCCATACAGTCTTTTCGAGATGTTGAATTTTGAAATGGACAGCAGCAGAGCTTCACACCTCTTGTTAGCATATTGTAATAGCCTGCAGGGATTCCATTCTCACCATTGAGGGTGTGAAAATTCAGCACTGGGTTTGATTCACAGCCATGGAAAAGGACGCAGGCGAAGACGCAGACACCCTAGATTACCGTTGCGTTCATCCGTCCTACAGCTAAAATGAGAGCAGACATCCAGCGACATCTACCTGCGTCGTTCCGTTCTCCCACAAGCCCTGCTAAAAGGGAGAGAGGAGGAATATGTATTTATTTTGCCTGCTTTTTGTCCTGCTATGTTTTGCCAAATAGGGGAATGGTACTGTGTAGCAATGTTGACTCATGAATTATTGATGACAGCTGCATCACCTGGGCCATCTCATTATCGACTCACTACGGAGAAAGAGCCAGCCAACCATCCCGCCAACAGTAATACGGCTAGCACATCTCCATTGCAATTACCAGCAATCCAAAAGAGGCTGTCACACACACAAACACACACACACACACACAAGCTTTACGTATAAAGACTACATGCATGCTCACATGCATTTATTGACTTGCATATGAGACAGGATAAACATGCAGTACAAAATAAATATGGTGATTATGAAGTTTTCATACTGTGAAATAAGCATGCGTGCGTACACATGCACATGCAGTAATCACCTTGCCAAGGACGCCCTACTCAGTAATCAATACGTGCCTGTAATGAGTGTATCAGGAATGGGAAAACACGCACAGACACAGTAACCAGCGCACACACACTTAACAACACACTTCATCACCTAAGCTTAGACTATCTGCTCATCAATACTCATCAGCACAGGATTAAAGCGCTCCACCCTGACGGCGGGGGGTTGATCAGCACTTAATCACATGTCCAGGTAACTTACACTGTTTTAAGAGTGATAATGAATAAGTAATGTCCTCGCTCCCATGTAGATGTTGATTTGCTTACAGTATTGTAGCAAAATTAACAATTTCATTATTTAGCTGCAGTTAATACAGACATGCACCAACAGCATTGTAGTGGCAGTTTTCGAAC